CCATAACCAAAACAAAACTACACCCAATATACAATAATCAGCATCCCAGAAATCCAACGTAAGAATAGAATACTAAAAGCTGTCACAGAGAAAAGACAGATCACCTATAAAGGAAAACCTAACAGAATCACAACAGATGTCTCAGCATGAACAATGAAGTCAAGAAGAGCGTGGATTGAAGTATTTCAGATCCTAAAGGAAAATGATTTCCAATCTAGACTGATGTACCCTGACAAACTGTGCTTCAAAATGGATGGGGATATAAGATACTTCCATGACAAAGAACAGCTGAAGAACTTCATGATCACCAAGCCAACTCTGCAAAGAATACTGAAACACAGTTTAGGTACACTTAGGAAAAAACACTAAGCAAAGCAGACAATTAAAGAGAATGGAAAGATAAAGATGCAATAGCAGAAAGATAGTATGTAAACAATAAACCAACAAACAACAGTTATATCCAATAATGTAAATGGTATTAATGCACCAATTAAAAGAAATAGACTGACAGAATGGATCAAGAAAGAACATCCAACTATATGCTGTCTACAAGAAACCCATCCAACTCAAAAGGATACTCAGAGACTGAAAGTTAAAGGATGGAAAACAATACTTCATGTAATAGGAACCCCCAGAGCAACGACGGTAGCTCTTCTGTTTGAAGACAATGTGAACTTCAAACCAATAATGATCAGAAGAGATAAAGAAGGTCGTTACATGCAGGTTAGGGGAAAACTTCAAGAAGAAGAGATAACAATATTAAATATACATGCACCAAATTCCAGAGCACCCAGTTATAGAAAGCAAGTATTAACAGAAATGAAAAACCACAAATAGCAGTAACACAATTATAACAGGTGACCTTAACACACCACTGGCACCAAGGGACAGATCAACCAGACAGAAAATTAGCAAAGAAATAATAGAAGTGAAACACACCTGTGAAACAAATGGACTTGATAGACATATACAGAGCGTTCCATCCAACAAATTCAAAATACACATTCTTCTCAGCAGTACATGGCACATTATCTAAAACAGACCACATATTAGCCCACAGAACATATTTAAGTAAATGCAAAAGAGTTCAAATTATTCCATGCATATTATTGGATCCTAACACCACAAAATTAGAAATTCATGATAACAGATACTGCAAAAACCTCACAAACACATGAAAGTGAGTAACACACTCTTGAGTAATTGGTGGGTCACAGGGGAAATTAAAGAAGAAATTAAACAATACCTACAAACAAATGAAAATACAAATATAACTTACAGGAATCTGTGGATGCAATGAAAGCTGTCCTCAGAGAAAAATGTATTGCCCTGAGTTCCCACATCAGGAAAACAGAACAAATACAAATAAATAACCTGATGCTACACTTCAAATGTCTAGAAAAAGAAGAGCAAGTCAATCCCAAAGCCAAAAGAAGGGAGGAAACTGTAAAAATCAGAGCAGAAACTAATGCAATAGAGACTAAGAAAACAATCCAAAGAATCAAAGAGATGGTTTTTGGAAAGAATAAATAAAATTGGTAAGTCCCTAGCAACCTTATTTTAAAAAGGGAATGAAAAGCTCAAATTCATGCAATAAGGAATGAACAAGGTAAAATGACTACAGACTCTGTAGAAATGCAGAAGATCATGCCATTTCATTACATCCATACTGCAGTAAAATGAACTTGGTACTGGAAAAAAAAAAACAAAGCCGAAGACCAATGGAATATATCAGAAGATACAACCCCAACTACAAACACACATAACCACTTTATCTTTGATAAACGGGCCAAACGTGTTCACTGGAAGAAGGACAGTCTCTTTAGTAAATAGTGTTGGAAAAACTGGCTCTCCATATCCCAAAAACTAAAACTAGACCCATGACTGTCACCATGTACTGAATTAAAATCTAAAATGGATCAAAGATCTGAATATTAAAACAGAAACACTAAATCTATTGCAAGACAAATTGGGTAAAAGTCTTGAAGACATATGGGTAGGTAGCCAAATCAAGAACAAGGATCCAACCGCATGGAACTACTTCCCAGAATCAATAACTGGGATCACATCTTACTAAAACGTTTCTGCACATCAAAACAAACCTCCAGCATAGTGAAAAGATAACCAACAAACTGCAAAAAAATCTTAGCGAACTGTCCCTCTGACAAAGGACGTCTGTCTAAAACATATAAAGAATTTTAGAAATATCAGAGCCCCGAAATTCAAAGACCCAATCCAAAAATGGGCAACTGAGATGAATGCACAGGTCTCAGATGAAGAGATACAAATGGAAAATAAATACATGAAAAAATGTTCATCATCATTATTCATTAGAGAAATGCAAATTAAAACCACACAGAGATTGCATCTCACTCCTGAAAGAATGGCCAGGATCAAGAAAACTACCAACAACAAATGCTAGACAGGCTATGGGGAAAAAGGAACTCACGTGCACTGTTGGTGGGAGTGTAGACTGCTGCAGCCATTGTGGAGGTCAGTCTGGAGATTTCTCAAAAACCTGGGATTGGAAGTCCCATGTGCTCCAGCTGTTAAACTTCTACCCATATTCCCAGAAGAAGTGAAAACATCATACCACAGTGATATATATGCACCCATGTTTATACCAGCACCATTTGCAATATTCAAAATTTGGAAACAACCAAAGTGTCCACCATCTGAGGAATGGACCAAAAAGATGTGGTATTTTCATACAATGGAGTGCTACTCAGATGTTAAGAATGAACAGATTGAGATATTCATAAATAAATGGCCGCAGCTTGAGACCATACTCATAAGCAAAATAAATCAAACTTACATGTATAAACACCGAATCGTTTCCCTAGTGTAAGAATACATATGATAAGATACCTATGATAAGAATACATAAAAGTATGCGGTAATCATGATTCCCCATCATATTGCTTTGAAGTCTTATAACGTTTTCATGGTTTAATTCTGGGTTGTTTGCTTTTATTATCTGTGATGGTATGAACAGTTATTTTGAAGAAAACAAGACATTATAATATAATAGGTAGTGTGATTTAATGTCATATTGTTTTGATGTCCTACTGAGCTTTTGTTCTTCTGTCTCAATCGGTTTTATCATGTTATACCTTATTGGATTTTATTACATATAACAGTATAAACAAATATGTATGGACAAGGAGATAATATACTAACCATTGTTGGATTTCTATTAGTTGGTTCTGAATACCTTGTAATGTTTTCATTCTCTTGAATGGTTTTACACTGTCTTGTTATGTTTCATATTATAGTGTATGAAGGTTTACTCAAATATTTTGAGGAAAGAGACACTATGATAGCTACTGTTATGTCGGGTTGTCTTGTGTGAAAACACTATGTTGCTTAAATTGTTCTGCGGTGAGTTTATTATGTCCTCTTTAATCTTTTTTAAAACAAAAATTGAAACGTAATTTGTGTTGTGGGGAAAATATATCACAGATTTTTCTTCAAGTCATGGAATTATTTGCATGACTTGGTTGCTTTTCTCCTTAAACATAAGGACTTATCTATGGTGTGGATATAAAGAGATGCCAGAAGTGGTGACTTCTGCTATACAGACAATCAGAGATCATAGACAGGTTTTTCCCAGCATCTTCCCTACCCCTTTGTCCTTCAGTGGAACATTGTTCTACAACTATGTTCCTCTCTGTTTCTGTCTATGCTTGTGGTCATAATGGCAGACTTAATAATAGGAGAGGCACCAGATTCTCTGCAAGGAGAATCTTATCCTGTAGGGTAAAGGCGGATAGAAAAGAAACAAGACAAAGCAAACTATGGTCAAGTAACTGTGACTGAAGTGCATAGCAAGACAGGTTTACAGTCAAGTCTGTCCTCTGCCTCTGAGGTTTGGTGATCATTGCGAGAGTTTGGCTGTAACAGGATAATACCAGATGCAGGTAAGGCGGGGAAATGAGTCAAAAAAGGATTTCATATGAATGATACACACCAAACCAAAGCCATACGAAACAAATGGAAACATACTATACTGCTAACAAACAAAAGACTGAAGGATGAAGGAATGGAACAGTAGGAATGAATGAGCACACAAAGTAACAAATCTATGGATGAATGACAAAGGGGTAGCTGGCTTTGGGAAACTGACAGGAAATAACATCCTTGGTGGTAGAAATGTAAAATCAAGGTTTGCTATGGAAACAAGGCCCACAGTGAAGGAAGCTGGGAAAAGGCTAGCAGCACAGAGGTGCCAGTCCACCTGTGTGGCCAAGTGCAGTGCAAAAACTGGGATGTGTTAGTCTCAAATTCCTCATTCCTTTCAAGGAGCACTCAAGGAACTTCAGCCTGCTTTCCGACCACTATGCTCAAAGAGCTCCTTAGTCCTCTTCCTTTGCTTGTTGACAGAAGACATAATTTAATTAACCATACACACTCTGATTACTTCAGAACAAGTAACACTGCTCTACCTGGAGGTACCTTAAGACCACTGGGATCTGAGGTCTCCATAAGATACACTGATGACTGGTTGGTAACAGTAGTTGTCATTGATCATACAATACACACACAATAAATAACTATGCTACAGACAATTTCTTTCTTTTTTTTTTTTTTTTTTGTCTTTTTCGTTTTTACTGGTACCGGGGATCGAACTCACGACTGCCTGCTTACAAGGCAGGCACTTACGCCGCTGAGCTAAATCTCCAGCCCAACTACAGACAATTTCAAAGACACCTGGAGGTGCTCCCTAGAAGGAGAGAATGCTGAAGCAGGTGGGACACATAGTGTCTCCTGGGACATCACCAGCCCAAAGCTCACTTAACCTTGGAGCTACTGCTCTATGTAGCCTGTATTCACTGCAACCAATCACATCTTCGAGTTGGGAGTCTGACTGCCTTATTGGCTGCCTCAGGCCTTCAACTGCCTGCTTTGTGACATCATCCAACTAGCAGAGCTGCCATTGGTTGGGCAAAGTTGTGGTTTCCACGGAGTTGTCCCAAGGAAGTACTGGCTATCGGCCAGCGAACAGCCACCAGTGCTCTTCCTACTGGACAACTGTATACTTCGGATTCAGCCACCCAGCTATCCTTCAAGACCCTTTCCTTGTCCTTTGCCTCTTTACTTGCTTTATCCTTTCTCTGACTATGTCAGGTAAGCACAGCACAATTCCCATGTCTCTGACATTACACATTCCTTCCGATCCCAAATAAGTTGATTAGTGGGGATCAATAACCTTGGGAGACTAGAGGATGTTCTTGAAGAGGAAATCGAAAGATGAACTTTGACTCATGGTTGGAATGTGTATAAGAATGTGACTTAGGACGCATGGTTTACCTGTGGCGCCAAAAATGTGTGTTAATCTTTTCTCGGGTCTGACTTAGTACCTATGCTCTGTTCCCTTTCTTTATTAATGAATGTGGAATAATATAGGGCACAGGAAAAGAAAATTAACCAAAACATGTTAAGTGTGACAGTTTCAGCAGAAAGTGAAATCATCACAGTCAGTCGGTTGAGAAAACTTAAGTCTGTGTCAAGGTAGTTCACCAGAGACAAGTCCCTACACTAGGGCCTCCACCTATATGCAGTGACCATGGCTGTTCACATGTTACAGAGGTGTGAATCTGAAATGGGTGAAAACACAGTTAGCGTGACTCCAGGGCACTAGGACTGTGCTAGATCTAGAAAGATCCTTTAGGAGAAGACATTTGCGAGGGATTGCAAGAAGCAGAAGTCAACAGAAACTGTGTAGGCCTGGGTGATTGGGGTGGAAGACAGTATACAGAATGAGAAGGGAGCACAGAAATAAAAAGAAATTGAGCAAGGGCATGGGGATGTGCACCGCAAAGGAATATCCTCTGTGGATGAGGATGAGAGGGAAACTTCACGGGGAACAAGGAATTCAGCAGACCACAGAATAAACACACAGAACAGTCTCCTCATACAAGGGCAAAGAGAGGCTGTGTGCGCAGCAAACCTTCTTTGGAAGGTGTGAGTGGGAAAGTGAGGCTGGAATTGGATTTTCCTGGGAAAATGGGCCTCATCAGAATTGCCACCTTCTCTGGCCTGTTGTTAGCAATTGTTTCTTCCACCCCAGAGGCCACTTCAAAATACTTGGGAGTGAATATTTTCAAAGTGGGGCACATGATTCTTCCTTTATATGTGATAAGTAATGTCACCATCTAGAGGGCTAGGAAAATAGTTTTGAGCAGTCCATTTAATGTTGATTTTTCGCTAAAGAATTTTTATAGAATGATGTTTACTACTAGTTGTGTACCAGAAAGAAAGCTTGCTCTGTGTGCTCAGCAAATTTTACATCAGACGTGATGCAGATTGCACCCTTGGTGTCAACATCATTCACCAATGTTCATGCTCAAGATCCGTTTTTCACACAGGAGAAACTAAAGAATTAGTTGGTTCCAATTAAAAAGGAAACGACAAGCCCTGCTTTTTGCATTGGAGTTTCATCTAAATCAATTTTGGGTGCTGCTGTGAGCTCCCCTGCTTTTCAATGAATTCTTTCAGTTCCTGTTCTTCCAGGTACAGAGGAGGCTGAGGCATAATCATTGTAAGTAAAAACCCACATGGGCAAACACCAAAACATAACAGAAATAGGAAAGAACACCTGGGGATTCAGATAAGTGACAGTATCCCAGGCTTCAGTTACAGACTCTTAAAGGGGAAACAAAACAAAAGAAATGAAAAACAAATAAAGAAAATGCTAAGGATGGTACTAAGTAATGTACTATGAACATAAAATAAGAAAGAGACCAAAGTAATCTGTCCAAAGTAAATGAAATAATATATATCGATAGCATTTGACTTGTAATCTAAGCGTGACGAGTGAAATTTTCTTCCTCTTCCCCTTTGTTTTTGCACTTCTGCTTCTTTTATTCCTCTGCCTCCTCTTCTGTCTCAGTCTCCCTTCTTCCTTTGTCTATCTTATCTTGTTATCAGCAGTTAAATTCAGGAACAAGTGCTTGCCACATAGGTGCTGTGCCACTGAGCTACATCCATGGCCCAGTGACAGATTTCTTTCTAGAAGTGAAACGCATCCTGATTGCTGAAGATGACTGTTTAGTAAGATGGGGAGAGAAATGGGAACTTTCATGATTCTCTTTCAGTGTAGCCTTCGCCAGTGACAACATCCACTGTGAAATCTGGCTCTTGGGATGAGTATTATTCCTAGGTGGGTGTAACTGAAACAACAGTGCATGAGCAGAATCATGGAATTCACTTATATTTGTTTTGTACACCATGCTGTGCTGGCTTTTTCTTTCTTTACTTTTGTTTTTGTTTTTATTTTCTCTTGCTTTTGCCTTCTTTCACTGTTTGTTTATGAGATAAGGTCTCTATTTGTTGACCAGACTGGGTTTCAAATAGAATTGTATACTGATAAATCTTCCTGAGAGCTGGCAACAGGGGCCAAGTACCACCACAGAGGATGTGCCACTCTCAATCACATTGTGACTAGATTTCAAATGCATAAACTATGAACTCTCAGAAGGATGCTTAATCGGTGTTTGAGGCCTGTGGCACACTTTTCACAGCCAGAGTTTCCATGCTCATATTTGCTCAGGACGACCACACTCAAAAAGAATTGCTAGTAGGCACTAACTTTGGTTCATCACGTTTCCTACAACAAGGAAATCACATTTATTTGGCTGATGTGGCTTGTATAACAGCACTTTCTGTATAGATCCACTATTCTTTGTCACTTGCCAACAAACTAGCAAATGAACTCTGGTATGACTCTGGGACCACATTATTTATAATGGTCCATATTCTTCTTTCTCTGTGTGATGCTATAGTTCTTCATTTAACTATCTCTACATCTGCAGAGCCTGCCTTATCTTCCTCCATGGAAATCCTGTGTTGTATGTCGGTTTCAAGCATAAGTGAAATGTCACTGTGTTTTGTTTGGAACCACTTTGGAGATGAGTAACTTGTAAGGCAGACAGATTAAAATACATTTTTTTCTCTATGCCATTTCTGGAGAAAATGATCCTCAGGTACCCATGCAGACATAGTGTCAGAAGGTAGGTGTGCAGAAGGGAAAGATAGAGTCCTGCAATGTACCAACCAACCAGGAATATAAATGAGCCATGGGAGAAAGGGAAGGTCCTGCACCTGCACAATGAGGTACCAAAGAAGAAAAGCTTAAGAGTCATACTGTCTCCAAGCATGTGAGTACCTAAATCCCTACCAAGGGTTTCTTTCCAACTCCTTTGTGGGTTTTGTTCCCCTGACAGGGAGTCAGGGTCTGTAACCTGATCCTGATACTAATTGTTTGGAGCCCTTGAACAATTCCATGGGGCCTCCCTGCTGTGAATGTCCTCACTCAACACCAGTAAGCTGACAAATCTCTGGAGTGGGAAGGGTTTGAAACCCAACTCTGTGGGTCCTAAGTCAGGGTGTGTGCAGGGACCATGCAATCACGGACAGACCAGGGTTAGGAGAAAGAGGCGACTTAGGACCATTGAGCACCTGTGAAGGGGTGTGTGGGGTCTTCCGAGATCCAGATGGCAGAGACATAACTTATGAGAAGCACTGCAACCACTGCATCAAGTTGGGGCACAGGAATGTCTTTCATTGCTGGCCTAAGACTGAAGACTGGTACCACAGGCATTCCAGGTAGAAGGACCTTAGGACAGGTAGTAGTGATGCTCAACCACACTGAGAATTTGTCAGTCTCATCCGTGTTTTCGTGGCCCTCTTGCTTCCTGCAGAACATTTCCATATTCCACCATCTACTGGGACCTCCAGTGCTCAGCAGCTCTCACCTTGCATGGTGAGCAAGGCTGCTTTAACACCAAGTGCCTGCAGCTCCAGCGGAGGAACACCTCCAGGCCTCAGTTCAGCAAGGCTCCCGCCCTCCACCTCTGCCACCTACTTTGAGCCAGTCACGGCCAGTACCTACATTTACCAACACTGTAGCATAAGTAGGTTTGCAGGGGTTTCTGGCCAGAGCCAGCTGTCCACTTCGGCTTTGCCATACTCAGGTCTTTGGCAGTGGGATCGGAGGGCAAGCTCTACATACCGATATCCACCCCTCTATAACGCTGCCGTGACTGTCACTGAGCAGAGCATGGTAGTGGCCTCAACACCCATGCCTGTCTGTGCTGCTGCCATGATCCCAGTATATCCATCTGCCAGCCTGGTTCCTGCAACACAACCCACACGCATGGCAAGTCAAGGACACGGCCAGTACTACAGTCAGGGTGCCCTGGGGCCTCTGCTGTCTGCAGGGCATGGAGCACTGTACCCATATGAGTGTGTGCCACACACAGGCAGTGGGGCCTCTGGGCCTCAACAGCACATTGTGATGGTGCTGAAGGAGATCCAGCACACAAAGATGACATCGTCCTCTGCTGCTCCAACCATGTACAGTTCAGAGTCGATGCAAGCCAACACTGAAATGCGTTATCCAGGTGGGTACTGACAGCAAGATTGTAAAGGAATGTGGTTAGAACACTAAGGAGGGTTGAATCAGCACCTTAGTCCTAAGTCAAGGGACAGACAGAATTTCTGTGCTGAGACTTCACTATCTTTAAGAAGCTCACTCCACTCCCAAGCTCTGCATGTAGGGAATGCAGGACACTGTAATGACCACCCCTGCTGCACTGAGGAGAATCCCAGCTGCCCACAATTTTATGTTGGCAAGGACAGACAGAGTCATCTTCCAATATTTGCACCAGGAAATATGGTATTGTATTTCCTAGTTCCTGTCCAACTCATGTGCCCTGGTGCCTGTCTTGCTTAAAATGAAAACATGAAATTCTTGTCTCTCTTGCTCCACGGTAGCAGTGTTCTTTACAAGGAAGAGAGGAGCAAGGACTGGGTGAATCTGATAGCTACAACTGATCAACTTTATCACTGATTGTGAATATGTGAGGCATTTGCACATCTGTGTAAGTGTGTCTGTTTGTTGAGAGTGAGTGTGCGTGCTCTACTTGTCATGGAGGCCAAGGACTTGTTCCTCATAAGCAATAACCTACCACTGTACACCCAATCATTTTGTGCTTTGAAAAGCACTTTCCCGTCCCTTTAAAACAGAACAACACCAGAAAATTAAAAGTCAGGAAGAACAAACATGGGGCGAATAGCAAGAAGAAGGATAACACATACCTCTTAGCTACACACTAGTCCTGTCCATCACGATGAGAAAGAGCTCAAGGAAAAGTGGTGCTCCTCCTAGGGCTGCTGAAGGCTGCGCTGGAATAGATCTTCTTCCTTGTTTCATTTGCAGTGAAGGAAACTTATGCAGAGCAAGACAGATCCCTGGGATCAGAAGATCCGGTCCAGGAAGTAGATGCTCCACACCTTCGAGAATTCATCCAGTCTTGCACAAGTAGCTGTACTCAGTTGCTTCAGGTAAGCCCACCAAGTGAGTTTGGTGATAATTCACGGAGAGTGACTCAAAGAACTCCATTCGTCACATGATTTTGGATCATACCTCGGAGCTACCAGGAGAGAAACACGGATAGTGTTAAAGGCAAGGATTCAAAGCCTATGAAAACCCACCTCATTTACACTGGTAATGAACACCTGCCTCTCCTCTCTTTACAGGACCCTGAACGTCCAGGCCTGCGGGCTTCAACTGAATGTGCCATCCCTGAAGAGTTGGGGTATTCAGAGGGCCTTGGGAGAAAACATCACCTGAGTCCTCAGCAAGCAGGGACCCTTGACAAGGGCATCGAGTGGAGCCCCGGGTGGGCAAATGTTGGGGTCCTGGTGGAGAACATTCATCTTCCTCAAGTGCTCCATCCCTTAGAAGATCTTGAGGACTCCAAACATCCAACAGCCATGGAAGCCCACGATGATGGGGCCATGGATGTGAATGGGGCACAAGAGAGTTCAGGGATGGAAAAGTGTCCCAGTCCTCAAGGGAGGGAGAGTAAACGTAAGGCCTCAGGGCCCATGGCTGTTGCCCCAGAAGCTAAGATCCATGTGAAGGCGAAGGACAGCCAGTTAGGTGGACCAGAGGGCCTTTGCAGTGTAGTCGCCAGTGGAAGAGCTCCTGAGGCCAACACAGAGAAGACACATAGAAAGTCTCCCAGAGGAGCATCAGGCAGGCCCAACCAAGATAAGGGTTGTGGGCAAGCTCGGGCCAAGAAGACCAACAGAAAGAAGGCGGCAGAGAGAAGGCAAGCAACAGCCCAAATCAAGGCCCAAGACAAACCAATTGCAAACAGGAAGCCCAAGAGACAGCCACCCGTGCTTGGCCAAGAGTCCTTCAAAATGCCTCGCACCTCCCTAGGGATGCACATGCTAGAATCCGTGCAGGTTTTCCACCCATTAGGGAAGAAGCTAGAAAAGAGAGCTGGGCCTATTTCCTCCCAGGCCCTGGGAATGTCCAATGACACCAAAGTTGCCAAAACTTCGCATGCCTCCAAACCATGGCCAAGGGCCCCACATGTGGGAAAGGGGACTGAAAGAGCTAGGGACAACTCCCAGAACCTGCAGAAGCCTGGTGGGACAGAGGACTCAAATGCAACCCTTTGTGAGCGCCCACCACCTGGGCAGGTGAAGTTAATACCTTTGCAGTTTCCCAGTCCTGCAAAGCATCAGGAAAAGCCTGTCTCTAGAAGGCCACGGGCTTTGGCTTCAAGGAGACCATGTAGCTCAGCCCTCCGGACATGCAGATACTAGCACAGCTCACCCATCCCAAAGAGCTTGTGCCAACCCTTCTCTGATGTGCAGTGTCAGCCTGGCTCAGACAATGCCAAGTGGTACCTGCCCACCACGACTGAGCACCTCCATCCAGCCTGGACTTCCTCAGTCTGCAAGGTGTAAGCCTCCAAGCCTCCAGGTGACACCACTGATTGCCTCTCTGAGAAGGGAGCCAGTTGCCTGTGCTGTGACTAAGCGCAGGTCTCCACCAAAGCAGCGAAACCCATTTCTCCTGGAAGACTTCAGTCGCCAACCGATTCCCTGGAGGGAACCCAACGTGCCTGAGCCTGTCCTGTCCAGCCCCATCACAGCGGAACAGAGGCCAGAGCGCGAGGCCATGAAGAGGCAGGCTCAGCGAGAGCGGGAGCTCGCGGCCCAGTACACATCCTTAGGGAAACTGCAATTCTTTAAGCAGAGAGAGAGAGACCTGGAAATTGCCCAGTACTATGGGTATGCAAGATGAGAGGCAGCAGCAGAGTCCAGCCACAGTGGCCTCCAAATAGTTTTCCCCATAGATACGTAGATATACATAAGTCAAAATTTGACCAATCTAATATTGTGCTGAGAGGTAGCAGAACCACAAACTGCACATTTTCCATTGAACAAGCATAAGTCCTCCGCACAGGAATTCAGTCGAGCCCATAGATAGGAAATAAAAGTGGCCTTTTGAGTTGTGAGATGCTGCTGTTCCCTCTGGTTTCCTTTGCACAGCTGGAGATGAAAGGGTCCATCAAATTGAGGAACTTAACACTCATTTGGGGAATATGGGCACAGAGGAGAAGCAATGAGCAAAGAAACTTTTGTCAGCTTTGAGACAAAATGGCCAGAGAAGTGAGGTCGCAGTTACATGGATGGATTGTAAAATTATAGGGGACAATTAATGTTCAGTTGTAGTGAGAAGGAAACGTTTGGGGTAAGGTGCAGGACACCACAAGATGGGTATCATATTCTCCCTTATGGAAATTAGCCTCCTGCCATGTGACTGAGCAGCCAGGCCCTCTGATGTAGCCTTCATCTGCAACATTCTTGGGTCATGTAAAGCTACACAGGGAAAGCTGATGGCCAAACTCTGGTGAAGGTACAAGAGGGCATTGCGTGGGTTTGCAGAGGTCTTAAGGACAGCAGGTAAATGAGCATCAGCAGCACAGGGCCCACCTAGAACTTGGTCCAGAATAGAAATCAAGGCATCCAAATTCTCCTTGGTCCAAGGTTGCAGAGGTGCATACTTAGCTAACCTGCAAACACACTAGTTCAGTTTCACTGTGTCCCTTTGTAAGCCAGTTTAGCAGTGGTGTCTTATTTCTCTACCTTCAGAGCCAGTAAGGCGTCGCTGTTGCCCTGATTCCCCTGAAATCCTCACAGAATGTGCAAGTGCAAACACTCATGTGTTCAACCTCGATTCCAAGGCCCTGCTTCCACATATTTATAAGATCAAACTTTGAAGCTGGAAATCTAGAATCCAGTTTGGGCCTGCTTCTCTGAGATCTGACATGTACCACCTTCTGAAATGGCAGCCATCAGAATTGGGTAGTCAGGATATTCAGACTCAGTTTCAGGGCAGAAGAGCACAGCAACATCCTCAGGCAGCTCAGGACGCAAGCAGCAGCCTTGCAGATGTGTTTCTTTAGAATGCTGGAGGACTAGTCAAAATCATAATTTGGGAGTTGCGCTGGTGGGTGGGAACTGGGGGACAGAAATGGAAAGGAGTGGGTCATCTGCTTGAGGGCAAAGGACCCACACTGTGGGATTCTACTAATTTAGATTTTGAAAATACAGTCTTCAGCGGGAATTCTCCCTCTGAAATTCACTTAAAAATGCAACCCACTGGCATTCACTGTGCCATGAAGTTTGTAGCATTTTCATCATCCCAAGAGGAAACACTTGTAACCCATTCCCAATCTGAACCACAAAACTCTCAGGGTGTTGCTACCTGCACACTGTCCACACCTAGAATCACACAGCTGCGCACAGTGTTGGTCTGGAATCTTTCCTCAACAGACTATTTTCTGGGATTGTCTCCATTTTGGGCACCACCTGCCTAAATTTTCACCCAGTTAATAGATTACACTATAGACAATATCAAGCACTTTTCAGGGTCAAATGAAGTGACTGGCAAGATGGGTGCTGACCTTCAACTAAATTACATTTCCAAAATCACAGCCTCTCATTATAGAAGAATCACTGATACCAAAGATAGTTAAATAAAATGGACTGTTCACTCTTTACCAACTTCCCAGCCTTGATCTTCACAACTCCGTTGGGCACATACACTTTGAACACTTTATCCATTCTGCTAGAGTAGCTGTAGACTCATCCCGCCACGTGCACCTACACAACTGATGTAAACGTTTAACCACTTACTGATGGCTAAAATTCTTTTGTGCATTTTTGTTAATATTACAGAGATAGTGAGGGACCCTTTACATTTCCTGTTTCTTTGAAATCCTTTTCCTCAGTTTTGAGAGCTATGTCCCAGAGCAATTCATCTAGGCAGCCTTGAAAGGTGGCCACCCACAAAAGGATTCAACCTCTAGATTTTAGAACCCAAAGCTCAGCTCACATACATTGCACTCAGTAAGAATCAAGACTGGTTCACAACCATAGAAAATGTTATAGCACATAATGTCTCCTTAGCCACCGTGCTTCAGTTTATTTGCACAGGTTACTTCCAGGTAATTTTAATTCCTGGGATTTGTTTCCCAAAAACAGCTGGCCACTATGATTCAAGAGTGATTGCAAAAATCATCCCGATTTGACAAGCAAATATGCCTCTGTACTTCACTGTGCATAAAACAGTCACCAGTGAGTGTTTGGGACAGGGATTCTTTGGAAGTAATTCTAGTCAGTTCCATTAGTGTAAAAAATCTGTTCATTGCTTCCAAACCTCGTCAGGCACTGCTTTCCCTGTGTTTCTGCAACATTAAGGTTTGCTGACAATGAATGGCTCCACAGGCTCTTTAGGCCACCATTTGGCCCAGCATGAGGCAGGTATCTCCAGTTCGTTGAAAGGGAAGTCTCTCCTGGAGATAATTTTGGAGTCCCTTTGGCGGCTTGGACATGAGGCTCTTGCTTGATGCTATCACTCACAGGTCAAGGAAGGGGAAATGATGCAGTAGTGTCTATTGATCAGATGACATAAGTTCCTCTGGAGTACCTTACTCACTCTGTCATTCCTGTTCACCTTTAGAAGGAGAGCTTGAGCACTACTCTTTTGTCAGGTCAACCTCCATGGGACAAGGATTGGAATGCTTAACCTTTGAATGCCGGTTGAGTGAGTGTGTTGAACATTTGTTCTTCACAGTCTCTATAGAGACTATTCAGTTTGCTGATTGGGCCTTAATGTCTGGTTTTGTGGATATGTTAAAGAGGGCACAGTGGAGACTCCATTCACGAACTCCTTCTTAGTGCAGATGGTCTCAACTTGCTAAGAGTCATATAGTCAGGCAGGTATCACTTCTGGTCTCTCTCACTGAGGGGTGGCCACACTTTGTTGTAGCTTCATTCAAAGATACACCATACATATATAAGGAGTCTTAGGCCCATCAGAATGGAGCTGGTCAAATCCATTGTATTTGATTGTACACTCCCAAATTTTAGCAAGGACTTTTCTGGTGACGAAATATAGAGTTAAAAGGTAGCCAAATAGCTGTTCAGGCCATCTGAAAAGAGATCTGAGAATTCCACAATGACATATGCCAATGAAGCTCACACTGGGCACCTCGCCAAACAGCTGAACCAGTTCCAGCCCACAGTCTTGTGTAGCCCCCGGCAGCCAGTGTGTGTGTCCTGCCACAAGTCTCATTCTCTGAATCTTTTACTTTACAATTACACTTACATGCCTACCTTGCTCAGATGCCATCACCTAATGCCCACCCAAGATGATGGTCATCATTTCCTTCTGATTCTATTTAACACAGAAACGTTCTGACCAAGGAAAACAGTGGACACTCAATCCTGACAAATGGGTTGCTATTGCCGTTCCCAAAGTTGCCCTGCCCAGTAGCACAAAAACCAGCAATAGGAAACCAAAGAACCCCCTCAGCTGCTTCTCAAAGGGGTCAAAGGCGGTGCGGGAGGAAGCATATCAATATGTCACAAGTTACTACAGTTACCCAGAAGGCTCTTCTGGACCTTGAGACTTTCATGAGTGACTCTGTGTAGCTCATAAGGAGCCCATAATTCATTGCCCCTGCGGGCTCTGAAAAAACTCAGATGCTTGATGCGGCCATTATTAAGCAGTAAGCATCTGATGTCCACAAGATAACTCAGTCTCAGACAGACCCACACACTCTATGCAATATGCAAGATGCGTGAATCCAGAGTAGGCTCCGTTATTCAACTTGGTGACTAGGATCCCAGAGTCCATTATGGTCAACCCATGACTTTCCTGGTAGAATGCCAATCTATTGCCCTTTTGTTAGGAAAAAAAGTTATCATCACAGGGGCATCTGGACTTCTGACCTTTCACATTGTCTCCTAGGCGCAAACATGCAGTGCCAGTGGACATCTCACCAAATATGAATTCATGTGTAGGCCAGATTGCTCCATACTGCTGCTGGGAAGAGATATCCCCAACAAGGTCATACCAACTATCACCAAGAAAACTGTTACTCTGAATGTTATTTCAAAGGAAGCCTTCCTCTGACAGAGACAGAAATCGCAATCATTAAATTTGAAAACCTTTCCCTTCAGATGTATGAGGCAGACACATTATTTTGAGGCTCGCAATAAACCCTGCACCCATATTAAGTCCAGCCCACCATGACTCTCATTCCGTCAGATAGTACCCTACATAACGTGGAGCATATGAGGAATCCAACAACATGTCAGGGGTCCTTAAACAAGGTCAGGACCACAGTAGACTGTCTACCAACTTGGAATGTTCCTCTCCCCCTAGTGAAGGAGCCCAGTGAAGATTCCAAGCCAGTGCATGCTCTTAATGCAACACCATGGACTCTGCAATTCCAAACCTATACTCTTCTGAGACACCT